TATATATATGTATATTGTGCAAAAATAGTTATATAAAATTATTTTTGTTAATTGTTGGAATGATCTTAGAATACAATATACAGAAAACTGGTAATTTTCTATGGAATTACCTCATCCATATGATTTTGTGGATTGCCAGAAATTTTATAGAAACATCGAATCAATCACTTTCACTGATATATATACATTTATTTTTCCCTACGCAAAATTCTGATTTTAGTAAATTTCTGATCCATTTTAAAACGCATAAACTTACCGCTTCTCTCAGCTTCTTCCGCGGTGATCATATTGCCGGTAAGCACTATTTCCATAGCTTTACTTTTACCGATGATTCTGGTTAGTCTCTGAGTACCACCCGCTCCGGGGATCGTACCGATTACGATTTCCGGTTGGCCGAACCTGGCCTTGTCGCCGGCGTAAATAATGTCGCACATCATAGCGAGCTCGTTGCCGCCGCCCAACTGCGATCGAAAGCGAAGAATGTGTATCATCGAATGATTTATCACATTTATTTCACCAATTCTTTGCGGAGGAAAGCTGCACTACTTACAGTGTAACCATTTACAGCAGCAATTACGGGCTTCTTGTTTTTGGAAATATTATCCCAGTTAGCTATGAAGTTCTCTTTCAGATTCGTCGCGTATGATTTATCTTTCATTTCTTTGATGTCGGCACCTATAAAAATAAGAGATATATCCATATTTATCTATAATAATACCACAGGGATAATGTACATATATAGTTGTGATTAGATAATACATTATATAAGTAGAGATATTACTATAAAAATATTTATGTGGAATAAAATTCACGTATAATCTTACCAGCAGCGAATGCCTTTTCGCTTCCGGTAATGACGATGGCACCGATTGACGAATCTGTGCTGAAATGCTCCAAAGCGTGATTCATCTCATTTATCAATTCATCGCACAGAGCATTTAATGCCTTTGGCCTGTTCAAGGTGATAAGGCCCACATTCTTCTTTTCACCCACTATCTCGGTTTTAATGCATTCATAATTGCTCCCAACTTGACCTATAAATCCGATTTTAAAATAACTATTTTAAGAAATAAAAAGATACAATTCCCTATATATACATTTTTTATAACATTTTTCGCGACAAGAAATTCTATAGGAAATTATTTATCTATGATTATTATGATAAATTAAGAAGAATGAATATTAAATTAATATTTTGCTCGCACGACATTTTTTGTAAATCTTTTTATATTTCTGCTGTGAAAAGTATATTTACAGAGTATATACCAAAAAAGTTTATTTATATTTAAATCCTTATCTGAATTTAAGACACTATTCTATACACTATTTTATACACGGTTACCGATACCTGTAGACTCTGTAAGTGTTTGCGCATGTTTTTTGATGCTTACAGTTATCGGTAGCCGTGTATAAAATAGTGATCTTAAATTAACGTAAATATGTTTTGCTCACGATTTGTTTTCGAAATAATGGCATGGTTAAATAAGCAAATGGATAGATAAGCGAATAGATAAATTATCGCTACATCAGTAGATCTATACTGGTAAATAAAATTGCGAGAGAGTTTCAGAGAGTTACATGCAGTAAATAACAATGTCTTTATCACGATAGGAAATTTATTTATGTGATTGCAAATTCTCTAACCAAAAAGCATGTTATTGAAATAGAAGTAGAACTTAATATATTTAATATAATAAAATAAGCTCGCTCCATATAAATTTCGCATATTTGCAAATACTTAATGTGCATTTAAAAATTATTTTCATTAGTTATATTTAAAAAAAATATCACGGAGGGAATGAAAAAATGCTATATCAATGACTGTGCGCTTGAATAAACAATTATTTGCCGATAAGCAAATAAATGCATTCGTTCTTAATCATTTACATAAATTGCGTAACAAATTGTGAGTGATTTTTCCTTTAAAGATTTGCCTAAATCAAAATATTTTTTCAAGTAAAAAAGAATAAAAGATTTGTGTAGTGCCCAAATGCATATATTCAAAGAGAAATAACGAAACAATATCTTATTTAATCCTAATTAACCTTAAATGTCCGTTCTATGATATATATACGAGGACTGACAATTAAATTCGTAGAAAAAAATTATTACAATTACAAAACACACTTATTCGTTATCTGATATACGGTTCCCTTCAAAATAGTTTTTCCCTCTAATTGTAATAAATTTTGTCTACAAACTTAATTGTCAGTCCTCGTATATATATGTACATATACAGTGGCGTGCAAAAATTTCCGGCCAGTGACATTTTGTAAATATAACAATTATAACTATAAATTCTTCATTTCACAAACCTAAACAATATTCTTTCACTATATTATTTTGTTTCCTATATGTTATACTCGCACCTGATAATGGTTAAAAAGTCATTAAGTTTTTTTCAATAAATTAGAGTACGAAATGTCACTGGCCGGAAACTTTTGCACGCCACTGTATATGTATCGTACGTATATATATATATATACTTTTTATTTAAATCATCAAGTTTCCAAATTTTGTTTTAGCATACATTATCTAAATATGGATTTAAAATGACTTTATATTGTAATTTAAAGTAATATGTATTTTGTGATGTAACAGAAATTAATGATTCTACGCATGCACATGATTAAACTTTCCTCTGAAAACCATACAATACAGAGCAGAGATTAAATAATCTGTATAAATTTAAATACGTAATTTCATAAAAAGTCATTGCAAGCAATCTATATTAATATATGATCGATCGATACAGTGTACATACAAAAAAAAATTAAAAAAATATTCCATCGAAAACAAGTTCTCGACCCGACAACAATGAACGAGTGACGTAGAAGCAAGTGATTATACCGGGTGTCCGCGCGGTAAGATCTCGATGTCAAGTGACCATGATCGATGGTTAGGGAAAGTAAAAATCTTAGCTCACTATTTACTTACAGGAATAATACCTGACGACGGGTGTGACAAAATGCTGCGGTTTTCGGGTTGCGTGCGACACGCGCGAGAAGAGAATTTGTGACACGCGGCTGGCGGACATGTTGATAGTTCAAGTATTCATAGATAAATGTCGACATCGAAACTGTTCCATGAATGATAGCATGGTCACTCTTGCCAACTCTCGCTACAGAAATGTTACTGATTCTCTTTCAAACACGAAAAAATTCAAACTCGCTTTATATATTATTAAAAATTCTAGACTATTATTAAATATTAATTAAGTACAAAACGTGACTTTTCAAGTAGAGCTATTTATTTATTGATCAGCTATTCAGTTAATTACTCAGTTTACTGATTAGTGATCGATCGATTAATCGTTCGATCAATCGTTGCGTATTTTACTTTTAGTAAGAACGTAAAATTGTAATTTAATATTATCTATTTTTATCAACATTTTTTCCTTTTTTTAATCGATTATCTGCTATTGTACATATATTATCTCTTTCTGTAATTTTTTTATTTTTGACAATCTATTCATATCATGCGGAATATGAATAAATACGAAATAAATGCAGATTTTTTAATTTTTTAACGGTTTTCCAGTTTTGATTCACAAGTAACACATTTTTTGCTAATTAAAAGATAAATAGAATTTATCTCATAATGTTATCGGAAAATTTCATAGAGTGCTTAAATACTATATATGTGCCTTATATTTTACATGATAAAAGATTATATATCTAATCTCTTTCTCAGGAGGATATTTTGTAAATTAAAATAATTATTATTTTATTATAATTATTTGTGTGTGTGTGTGTGCATATATATTGTACATATATTGTATACTTTAGCACGTGTAACAATTTTTATAAAACAAGAGATCCAATAATAATAGATAATTCCGAGAGTTTTTTTTTAAAGGCATAGTTTTGCCTTCTCGCAAATTGATTGATTTAATCAAATTGATCGATTTGCACGAATTTATAAGAAACGGCGCGAAAAACTGCAGTTCCGAATCAGCGATCCGCGACCGTGATCGATGATGCATACGATGACTAGACTGAAACATAAAGAGAAAAGAAAAAAAAGCGAGAATAGACGCTTGTCTGTCACGCGTTTACGCGGTGAAAGTATTTTGATTCGGAAGGGGGAGTTCACCTGCGGACAGGTAATAAAGCGGCAGACGGCACCTCGACATTGAACGAACTTGAATTTACCGTCAGTTCACGGTCGTTCGTTCGAGCTTACCGTTTCTATCGGCACCATGCGTACGATTCTGCTGCTCACCTTCCTGGCAAACGCCAATCTCAATGGATACGCAGGTGAGAAAATTTATCTATTTGAAAAAAAAAAAAAAATTTTTTTTTTTGCAAAAGATGCATGTAATTATATTACTTATATATAAAAATATTTTGTATAAAATCGTTACATTATTATTTACATTATTATTTTTTTAAATTACATATTATTGTGAATTTTGTCGAATAAAACGTTTTTTAATTGTAATACTTCCACATATATACATATATTGTAAATAGAATTTTTTGTGATTTTGATAACATTTTCATTTAAATAATAATATTTTAACTATTATAATATAATTTTGATTGTATATATATTTTTGAAGGATTTTTCAAACTATCGATTTAATTGTCATCGTAGAGGAAATTTGGCAGCAGGACCTGTCTAAAGACATGCAGATAGGTGCATCCACCGAAGGCTACGATCGCGTAGGATTGCGATGCGGCGCCGAAAAGATGACCGTGGAGCTCAGGACGACGGAGGATTTTTCAGGAGTGATCTACACTCAGGGTAACTTTTACTCCAGAGAACCGTCCTGCTTCCTCGACCCAGTTCGCGGTAGAAGTTTCACTATGAGCATCCCTTTGAACAAATGCGATACTGAAAGGGTAAGTAAATGCACGTTAATTCTGTTAATTTCTTCTCTTCAAGCTATCGTTTCAATTTATCGTTCATCTTAGCAAGAGAAAATTCATTCAAAATTTACGATAAAGAATTCTTTAAAATAAAAGTAATGTCTGCTTTAAAGTAGAATTAATTTTATACAGCTTCTTTCGCAGTTGATGTTCTCTCATTTACTTATCTATTTTTATATGTGATATATAAAACATGTATTATAATTTATATATAATAAAAAGTCGATGAAAGTAAGTACAATAATTCGTACATCACATTTTCGAATGTATATCATTTTATAATTAATTTCTCAGATTTCTCTCATTTTTATTCATGGTTTTTAATAAATAATGAAACTGGAAAATATCAGCATATAGCATTTTCTAAAAAATATCACGGTATTAAAATAAATTGACAATATTTTTTAATTGTACCTTTGTTAAAATCAATAAAAATCCAGCTCTCTCTCATTCTCTTTATAACAATCTCTCGTTTTAACTTTATTCATTAATAAATAATGTTTTAGAATGAATAAATATCTAGTAGATGCCTATCTGATATTTCTTTCACTTTTTTTTTAATTTTAAAATTTTAAATTTTATCAGAATGGAGAGAAATACAGCAACGTCGTGGTCATCCAGCACGATGATGAGCTATTGACTCCGGGTGATGCTGCTTTTACGTTAGAATGTGACTTCTCAAAACCGCGTGATCTCACGGTAACAGCGAATTTAAATGGAAGCAAGAAAAGGTATAATTGAAGGCATTATCTTGTCATTAATTCAACTCACTTTCGATATGAGAGTGTTGTGATTATCGCGTGTTTTCAATTATTCATAAGTTTATTAGAGATATAATTGATTTTCTCTGCAGTACGCGGAGCGAATTATGTAAAGAATATCACTAATTACCATCCTAATCTATGAAAAAAATTCCTATTAAATATTTTAATAAAAATGTTTTATGACGCATAGTTTTGGACACGGTATTATTCTTATTATAATTTTATATATAGAGCGTGTAAAAACTAGATTAAACGAAGGAACATATTCACATCCTTTAAGTCATTGAGATACTGCGATTTTGTCGAGGTTTCTTTTCAAATTTTTTTTACAACTTTAACATTAAATATCTCAATAAATAATAATACATTTCCATTTTCAGGTACACTAGATCGAGTATAGCTCTCGTTGACGCCGATCCAGGAAGGAACAGGAGAAAAAGGGCGGCGTATGTGGAAAGCTACAATGACGAAGTTGTTTTCGTGCCGCAAAAAGCGTATCGTAAGACAAACAATGAATTGTGAGATACCAGTATGTGCTAGCTATAATAAAGGACTAAATGTGCATTTTGCCCTTTTCTTTCGCTGCGAAACTTTCCCGGCTGATAATCGCCGTTCATAAATTTTTCACTTATAATTTCGCAAGTTTTCCACTGGCACAATCTGGTGGTCTCTCCGCAAATTCTACAGTTTTTTTTTTTACACTGAGCATGTTCAGCGAACGCAACAATTGTCGATGACAACAATAATTATCTTTGATATATCCATACTTGATAGGTCCATTAAATTAAGTTTTCCTTTTCCAAAAAGATTGATCATTTAATTCGCGTTTGCTGAACGTGATCATCACACAATAAAAACACATATTCGAATTGATTCCAGGATAAAAACAGTCATTGGATAACGTCTTGCTAAATCATATCAGCGAACGTCATTGATTCCGATGAGATAATTCAGCATTCGGCGCTCTAGATATCGTTGCTGTTATTTATTATACACTGTTTGTTTGAATAAATTATTTAATCCGTTCGAGGTTAAATGTCTCATTTCATAATCGTAATGCAATCGCGGATTGATCCTTAATTTGTGTGCAACACAGGAATGTGTGCAATGTTTATATATACATGTGACTTTACGATTTATTTTTACTCCAACGATACGATATGTAACATGCGATAATTCCATGATAATCTCTAGCCTCTGTATGGAGATAGCAATAACATATGGAAATTTACGCCAAGTAAGTCGTTTATGCAATCGACATCCATCAATCGATATAATAAGCTTTATAGCAATTATTACAAGATTTAATGTTTTAATACATGCCGTTAAACTTATAATTTTCAATTGTTCTAAAAGGTCGTTGAACTTCTGAAACTACTATTGTCAGCGGAATCGTAACAGTACGGCTATTCTGTTTAATGCGTTCAATGCGTTATAGGTCACGATGATAACTATGCAAGAAATGAAGCGGTATCGGTGATTGTACAGGGAAACGCGAAACCGCAATTTCATTTCATAATAATACGCCATAAATATATAAACCGCATTATGGCTAAGTCGAGAGACTATGAAACATAGTCGAACCCAGGCGGATATGCTCGGGACAATATAAAGTCTTCTTTATGGGACGAGTACCCCGTCTCGTCACACTCGTCATCCGCTTCTCTCTCTTTCTCTCCTTCTGGTCGAGTGCAGAACTCCTCTCGGGCGACTGTACCTCGTGAATGAATTTAATGAACGGGTAGAACCGTCTGAAAACTTCACTTGCAGCTGAGAATAGTTCATTATACGCTGTTCTTCCCCAACATGCTAGGATGTTAATAATTAGTAAAAAAACATCAGTGTATTTTTAAAAATGCTAATAAACCAGCTGATTTTTTCCGTCGCTGGCTAATAAAGTTAAAATATATTGTAATTTTACTATAGCTACAACAGAGTTTTTAGTACTTTTTAGTTTAAGTTTGTATTTAATGAGCATGTCGATTACTAGCGAAAAAGAATCGCATGAATCACGCTTTACGAATAAGAAACTGGAATTTACTTTATGAATATTTTATTTTAAACAGTTAAATTATTTTTTAAGAAAGAAATTTATAAAATAATAGCTCTGTAGAATTTTATCAAATCTTAAACAAAAAGTTGAGTAAACCAAAATGCATATAAAGCGTATCTATCAAAATCTATATTAAAAATATTGATTAATAAAAATAAAAAGCAAGAAGGAATTAAAATCTCTAAAAAATCTTTATTGTTGTGAATAACAATCAGTCTAACAGGGATCTATCTAATTTTCATTGTTATATATTACTTGTTAATTGAAACACTATGATATTTGTCTTAAGAGATAAGAAAATATATCTTGTGTTTATTAAAACACTGATGATAGTGTTAAATTTCCGAATATACGTCACATTAGCCTGCCCCCACTCTTCTATTATTTCTCTTCGTATATATATATATAAGAAGCTAGTCAGACATCAGTCTCTCAATTGTGAAAGATTTTAGAAGTAATTTTTCTTGCCGTAAAGTATATCGTGGCAGAAATGGCAACAGCGAAATTCAAAGAAACGTCCCCCTATGTCAAGCCGAAACCTTCACCACCTGAGGAAGATTATCTCTATAACAAGTGAGCGATCAATTTTATATGTATCATTGCATCTCATCGGGTATCTCGAGTAAATACTGGACTGAAAATCTTTTTAGCGAGGAAAACTATTTATCTTTAAAAACTATGTTTTTAAAATTGAGAGAGAGAATCTTTACTTCTTATCCTATTATTTCGCACAGCTAACGCAAAATTTCATTTTTAAATTTATTCAAGATATGTTTAAGACACTGATCTTGCGTGTGTGCTTTTACTAACGCAATAAAAATATCTTCTCGCAGATACTTGGAAGACATTGCGTTGAAGACCGATTCCCGAAACGACCCGATACTTAAACTGGCCCTATTTGGTGTGGGTCGTGCTGGTACGATACATTTATCGTCCATAAGTTTTAATACACGCGTCAAACTCGTATATATCGTTGACGATGTCGAGAGTAACTGGCAAAATATGCGTAAACACTGGCATCTAGAGAACGTTACTTTCCTAAATAGCGAGCAATCCGACAAAGTATTCCTGGATCCCAAGTGAGTAATTGCATTAAATAAGAAAAAATACCATCGATGAAAATTATATATTAATCCTTCAGTCGTCTGGACGCGATCAACGTCTGGAAGCGTTCGGTCCGAGGGGTGTCGTACAAGCCGACCACGAGCAGCCAAACTCCGGTACCATCGATGAAAATTATATATTAATCCTTCAGTCGTCACGTGGGGTCTTTAAAGCCCGATGCTTAGTAAAACGCATTTTTTTCGTAATAAAATACGAACTTCGCCCTTTGACCATTCGGTATCTTTCCTTTTTCTTGACGAAAAAGATATAAATTGATTTTTTTATATTGAGATCTTTCAAAACCCTGAATTGAGGTAAACATCGCATGCGACACGTAAAAGCCAGTAAGTCAATCATGGTGTTAACATACAAAATTGTTCATATCTCAGAAACGGTTGAGCTTTCGACCTATGTTTACTAAGATTCTTTTACTCAGTATAGTATGTCCTATCTACCATATAAATATTGAATGGTTTTTTTTTTTTGATACCCTGTATATATCATGTATGTATATATATTATGTAATATATTAAAAAGTATTATACAGATAACAATATAATAATTCGATTTATCATATTAATGGTTTAAGAATAATCAAATCTACGGATATATATATATATATATATACATGCATAAAGCATATAATTGTCGAATTTTACAATTTGTACAGTGTCGACGCGGTTGTCGTGGCGTCGCCGACCTACACACATGAGAATATCGTTATCAAGGCTCTGAAGGCGAAAAAGGCGGTCTTCTGCGAGAAACCTATAGCGGAAAATCGATCGGACACTGTCAAATGCTACGAGATAGCTGAGAAAATCGGCAAACCGTTGTTTTGCGCGTTCAATCGGCGGTTCGATCCGAGCTACTCGGAACTGCGAGACCGAGTTCGAAAAGGTGAAGTCGGACATGTCCACATGATCAAATCCGTCTCACGCGACTCTCCCCTACCTACTATAGAGTATCTGAAAGTATCCGGCGGTATCTTCCACGACTGTTTGGTTCACGATATCGACATCATCACCTGGGTTCTCGGAGAGTATCCAGACAAGGTGCGAGGATTTTTCACACACTTATACATGTCTAAATTTTTATAAGTTTTATTTTGCAGAAATACTTTTATTTTTTTATTTTTTTATGTAATTTCAAAAAGGAGATCAAATTCTTCGCTAAGCCGAATCGTTGACTGGAAAAAATAAAAAGTTAAATTTATAAATTTTGCAATACCATTGACGAGATTGATAATATGTGATTACAGATTTCGGCCATAGTTAATGCGAACATCCCGGAGATCAAGGCAATCGGGGATTTCGATACGGTCGCAGTGACCATGCACTTCCCATCAGGTACCGTCGGCATGATCGATCTGTCGCGCAACAGCACTTACGGATACGATCAACGTCTGGAAGCGTTCGGTCCGAGGGGTGTCGTACAAGCCGACCACGAGCAGCCAAACTCCGTTCATCGGCAAATCGGTCTAAACGGACCGGTCACCGCACCGATCTGGTACTCATTCGCCAGCCGTTTCATGAACGGCTACCGAAGGGAGTTCGATCACTTCGTCGACATAGTGCACGGTAAGGCTAAATCGCTGGTCAAGTCGAAAGAAAATCTGGCGGTATATATATATATTTATATTCATATATCGCGATTCTTAGAAAAATCTTATCGCGCATTATATTTATCCAGCAGCTGGTATACACATGTCGTACTTATAAGACTATAACATCTTAATATCCAATATATAATCGCGTATCGTAAATTTACGTATATTGCAATTAATTATATCAATATCAAGTATTAGGTCATAACAATTTGATATCTCTTTTATATTTATATGTATATATATAACCAATTTTACACTAATTGGAAATAATGCGCAATTCATTTAGGCGCCAAATGCATGTATAAAAAACTGTGTACAATTATATGTTTCGGATAACTTCTTTCAGTTCTCGCGATTGTGAATCGTTTTTTTAATTTTAGTTTAGTTTTGTCTCACACGATTTTAGATTCGACGAGCACATTTTTGCTTGCAATATTTTTCAGCTCGTTATCGAGCTATAAAAATTCTTCGGTACCATTATAATCAACTGTATATCAAACGGATACTCTCTGTTGACGCTAGATCGCTAGACGATACTTGAAATTGCTTTGAACATTGTAGGTCCCCTCCATTTTTATTGCGTGTAATATATTCACAATTTTGCTATGCCTGTCTCTAACTAACGATTTGCATATTCGAATCGCGTGCGATAATTTTCGATATTCAGAATTTCAAAGATTTTGCGAATAATGCGGCTGTAGCCTGCGTTTTGTCACCGCTAAATCTACGCAATTCAGCAATAACTTGCGCCCTGGTAAAACCCAGAGCCTCTAGTTCCTTGACAGTGGCTTCCGTGAATGGATCGTGTGGATAGACTGTCGTTTCTAATGCGGCCGGTCTATTTAACGAGCCTTGATTACTACTACCTTGCCCGTCTGAAACGTTTCGACGAAAACATTCATCATTGGTAGATTGCGGAATAAATTCTTTGTTAAAAAACAAAGTACGTAAAATTTTGTATGCTTCCGGTAAAGAGACGCTCTATATATGCTATATTCTCTTTTATATAACTATAAATTACAAAAGAAAGAAGATAGGAGAAAAAATTACATAATTAATTTATTTAAGAGACAAAATATATTGAAAATAGACCATCGCAGAAGAGTATAAAAGAAAGGAATGCAAGGATTATTTTATTTATATCTTCTTTTTTTAATTATGAAGAGAGAGAGAGAAAGAGAAACAAAAAGATAAAAAAATAGCTTGAATTGATTCTTACCATGCTGCTGCCTCTGCTTCTTCGCGTCTCTCGAACTGTCCTCGAGAGCTCGTTGAAGATCCCCGACCACGAGCAGCCAAACTCCGTTCATCGGCAAATCGGTCTAAACGGACCGGTCACCGCACCGATCTGGTACTCATTCGCCAGCCGTTTCATGAACGGCTACCGAAGGGAGTTCGATCACTTCGTCGACATAGTGCACGGTAAGGCTAAATCGCTGGTCAAGTCGAAAGAAAATCTGGCGGTGAGTAAGATCGCTACGGCATGTGAAGAATCCGCTCGCACGGGAAAGATCGTGGATCTGAACTGGGCGAACGGTGAATTGCCCAGTGATCAATGAGGCTTTAACGAGAGACTATCGTTGTATCGATACTATTGTATATTTTTTCATGATAAATAAAAAAATGTTGTATACAGATAAAGGGATGCAAAGATGACATTTCAGATTAATATGTAATGAATGCTATTATATATGATTTAAAAATTTATAAATGGAATTAGTTGCCTAATCTTCATTATTAATAAAGGATATTGAAACTTATCGATGTATTTCATATTTAATTAATTTGTTTGTTTGTTTTTACATTTTACGCGCAACATTAAATATATACAAGAGACTAGAAAAGATAAGAGAGTGCGGATATGTAATAAATATTGCTAAATGCGATATTATTACAAATGAAAAAAAGATTTATTTCCGTTGCAAAGTTTATATTAAATTATAATATTTCATAGTAACAAATTCTTCCTTTGGTTTTACTAGGATAATAGAGAAAAAAATGCGTCTCCTTGAAAATATCTAGCAAGTTTGTATAATATTGATTATGATTTAATTAGAGCTTATGTGCTAAATTAGTGAATTGTTCAGCCAATAACGAATAAAAAAATTACAAGCCATATAATTCGTTACATTTTTATATATAAATGGCAAGGAAATTACACAATAATGTACCAAATACCATATCGAAAGAAAAATAGTAATACAAAATCGATATTGTCTGTAAGATTGATGCGCGCGTCTCTGCGTAGACTTTTCACTTTTCCGTAACTCCTATTGTAACAATATTTTGTAAAAAAATGGAAAACCTTTCTATTCATCTGTCATTATCATTTTGTGTATGTACAGCCGACGTTTCTTCAGTAAACAATGAGGAACTGAGTTTGAGCCGCGTCCAACGTCAAATTCGAGTCTTTGAAATATTACCAAACAGCATAAAGTTCTCACGCAAGAATTCTGTCTATCATACATTTCGTGCTCGATTTATCTAGAATCTTCACTAATACTAGATATATACATTTTGTCCATATTTACCATTAAAACATTACAATATTACAAAGTGTACCGCGAAATATATATAATTCAGGTAAATCACCTATAAAATAATTAACAAAATAATGTAAATATTTCTCATTTCAACATTGTTTAGAATCTTAACATCAATTAACATTAAAAACAAATTTTATTAATTATATAAAATAAGAAGAAACAGACCTTCTGCCAAAAATGGAGTTTCAGTGCCCGTAGTGCCAATCTTCAAGACATTTTTCTTCAGATCTATGCAACATTGATGTCTCTTGAGCATATCCAAACCCAGCAACATGTCCATAGGTTGTTCCTCGAGGACGCTGAACGACGTCGTAAGATGATCATTGCCAATTTGTATTTGTACCATGTGTATACGACCGATTATGCGTTGAACTCCGACGCCCTTGGCGACCCCGGCCCATCTCGTGTCCACCAGACGCATAATGTGACATCTCTCGGCACAGGCGGCGGACATAATAGTAGTTTGAGCACCTTGTGTCACAAAAATGTTTTCAATACTATAGTGTGCAGGATCTCGCGAAATGCTACTTCTGCAATGCTTTCATCGTGCAAACAGTTTTAGAAGCCATCAGATTATATTTAAATCGAAAACAAAATCTTTTTCTCTTGTGTTATTTTCACAGATGAAAATCACATGAGTCGTCAGATCTAAAATTAAACTGTTTTTCTGCATGTCATGCAGAATGCTCTTCTGAAATGTGCGTATTTAAAAATAAATATATTACTCAGACGCCGAGATGCAGTGAAACAAAGATGTTTAAAAATAATCTCAACATTTTTCACGCGCCTCTCGAGATACACGCAAAGCATTGACGCATTTCTACTTGCTACTAATAACTCGAATCAACGGCCAATGATTTACCTGAATCAATAAATGCTTTAACTGGAAATCCGTTGACTTTACAATTAATATACAACATAACGACGGTGCCGAAGGTCTCCGGATTGTACTCCATTGCCGCCTCCATATTTGCCTCGATATTCTTTTGCCTAATCTCTTCAGCGATCAGCCGTTGCGCTTCTGTGTCAAACGGATCCGCGTTCATCATTCTCAGCCGTTGTGCTTGCCGTTCTTCTCGAGCGGCTATCTGCTCACTGAGTACAGTCGAAAATCTATCTATAATATACAATCTATCTATAATATACAAATATTTAGAGCAGAGGTGCAAGATACAATGTTACGCTGTTGTAACTAAAGCTGCTACTTACCGAGATTTCCCGACAGCAAAGCGTCGGCTAATCTGGGATTATTCTGCTTCAACAACGCCAGCTGATCTGGATTAGCCAGGAACATATTTCTTATCAACGCTGGATCGTCCTCGCCGCGAGGATTTTGTATATTCGCGATCGGCTGTGGACGCGTGTTGCTGATCTCGGGAACTCTGATGGAACTGAAGTCCAGTAATGGAATGGCTAGAGCGACGTTTCTTCAAATTTAGTATGTTCATTTTTGCAAGACATTATATGCGCTGTGCAAAGTAGCATCATACGGTACGAGGGATAAGACATGAAATATAGAGAAAGATGATGAAACAAGCTTCATGGTGACGTTCAGAGAAAGAGAAAGAGAAACAGAGCTGAAAAATGATAAATGCATACATAATTAAGCTAGAGTCAAAGGCCAAGATTTCAACATTAAAGACCATCGGCTTTTCAGTCACCATCAATTTACAGCCTTTATGTCGACGAAAACAAGATAA